GACATATGGCGAGGGCGGGAGATGGTGACGAGGAAGGAAGAGGAGGGCGGGGCGAGGGCGGGCGGCGGCGCGTCGAGGCGGGGCGGGGCGAGGGCGTGCGGCGGCGGGGCGCGGACCGAGACGCCCATCTGCGCCGCGAGCCCCAGCAGGAAGAAGTACATCTCACCAATGTCCATCGCGTTGCCGTGCGACCAGAGCAGCGTCGCGCGCGCGGCGGGGTGGACAAAGTGGAGCAGCGCGACGCTCGAGCCGCGCGACGTCTCGACGCGCGCGCAATCGACGCGCACGGCGCCGCCGGCTGCGTTCCGCTGCAGGTTTTCGTGCGCCGCCGCCATCTCGGGGTCGCAGAAGCGGATCCGCAGCTTGCCCTCGTGCGCCTCCATCGTGTACGACGCGGGCGACGGCGGGAAGAAAGCAAACTGCGAGACGACGCGGTCGATCGAACAGCGATTATTGCAGAGCAGGCAGCCGATCGCGGTGCTCATGACACAGCCCATGACTAGCAGTCTGCCACGGCGGCGGAGTGGAAGGAGGGGCGCCTGTGGCTCTAAAGCTGTCGTCCTTGCTCGCTCCAAGTTCGACGATAAGAATTTTGCCGCTTTGAATTCGTTGAAGATGAGCAGGCGAAAGAAGCCGCGAGAACAAGGGACCGGCAGGTGGCGGCGTCGCAGGACGAGGCAGAAGAGAACAACGCGTCAGAGGAGGAAGTGACAAGGGAGAGAACGACGAGGGTGGGACGACCGCGAGGTGGCATGAAGGTTGCAGCGAGAATCGGCGAGAGACTGCGAAGAGAGATAGGAAGAGGCAGACTCCCTAGGGTGGGCGACGGATAGCGCACCACACACCTCTCCTTAAAATCCCTGTGTGGTGGCGGCGTGCCGTCCTCCCATCCCTCCCTTGGGTTGTCTGTTTTCTTTCTTTCTTTCATGAGCGCGCGCGTCACAGCGCAGGCCAGGTCTACACTGGCCGCGGCACCAGCTCCCGCGGTCTGCACGCTAGGAGTGGTCCGCCCTCGCAATGAATGCGGAATACTATTACGAAAAGTACAACTAGTGCGACACACTAGTCAGTCTCGTAATCGCGCCAAGAGCGCGGATACACACACAAACAACAGGCGCGGCTATGAATAGCTGCGCATATACAGATAACGACTGTTCACAGTTGGGAGAGAGAGAGTCGTCTCTAACGCTCCCCCCTAGTTGCATCGGCAACTATCTCGGACGACTCGCGCGTCTTCGGCGAAGGGGTGATGACTCACGCCTTGCCGACGGTCGCGACGAGCTTGCTCCACAGCCGGGCAGCCTGCCCCTGGAGCGTCACAGCAAAGCCGGGGCCGTTGCTGGCGTTGAGCATGTAGTCCGCTCCGCACCAGTGTCGAGAATTGCCCTTTTAAATGTTCTTGACCAGGAGGGCGTAGGCCTGCTTGCGGCGGGTGCGGTACAGGGCTTGCATCTTCTGCGAATGCTGTGCAGCGCCAGCCGGCAGAGGTGGAGCGCCGACGGCGGTTCCTCCCATGTCCGCACCAGTGAAGACATCCGCGACGCTGGAGCCGGATTCGTCAGTCCGCTCCGCACCAGTGTCGAGAATTGCCCTTTTCCTCTCCTTGAAAGGATCGCCAGATGTCCCATCCCATTGGATGACGGACGGCATGTCTTTGTCACGGTTGTTGCTAGACATGCTACGTAGTTACCCCTCAGTCGGCTCCACGTTGAAGATGAGCGCGCGCGTCACAGCGCAGGCCAGGTCTACACTGGCCGCGGCACCAGCTCCCGCGGTCTGCACGCTAGGAGTGGTCCGCCCTCGCAATGAATGCGGAATACTATTACGAAAAGTACAACTAGTGCGACACACTAGTCAGTCTCGTAATCGCGCCAAGAGCGCGGATACACACACAAACAACAGGCGCGGCTATGAATAGCTGCGCATATACAGATAACGACTGTTCACAGTTGGGAGAGAGAGAGTCGTCTCTAACGGAATTGGCGCCGCGACATCATCCGGCCCGCTGGGTGCGCTCCTCAGCTCCCTGGCCCTGGATGTGCGGTTGATGACTGCACTCCAAGTGCTCCAAGTGCGACCTCCAAGTGTCTTCTGAATAAACGCAGTATGGAAGATACAAAGAGACGGAGGAGCAACGAGCGCCCTGGCGTGAGCCGAAGACACTCCCTCCGTAGACACTGATCACACACGGGTGGGACAGGGTGGGTCACAACAACGAGGAGAGCGTGCACGACAGAGCGACGGCGCAGCGTACCGCCGTCCAGCTAAAAAGCGGCGGCCGACGGTTGCTGCGCAAAGTGATCAGTTCTAAAATAGGTGCCGGGGCCCAACGGATAGATGAATCCGGGGCACCCTCCGCTCGAATCCCTGGCCGGGGGTTCGAGGTGGCCCCCACCCTGGGGCCTCCCATGAAAGGGACTGCGGCAGAAGACGCCCAATCTTGCACAAGTGCAAGAACCATA